CACGACGGCATGAAGCACGCGTACGCGTAATCCGGGCCACCTGCCCGCGCGACCTCTGACCCCTCCACCCTGTTCCTGCGACACCAGCAGCGGGTCTGCCTCCGTGCGCTAGCCCGGCGCACCACGGCGTCCGCCACCGCCGCCGCCGACGGGCGCAGGGGCGCGCCGGCCTGCCGGAGTACGCGTCTGCGGCCGCCGCCCTGTTTACGGGCGGCGGCCCTCCCCTGGGTGCGCGGCGCGTAGGCCGGCGCCGGCGCCGCTCCCACGGCTCTGTTGAGATGTGCGGGCGGCGGCGTGACGCGTCGACGCGTCACGGGAGAGCACGTCACGGGCTGGCCGGCGCCGTCCGGCCGCCGCCTCAAGACTGGACGGCGGGCAGCGGCTGGCCCCAGCGGCTGGTCCCAGCAACATACACTAGTACTGGCCGCCACCTAGGATGGCATAGGAGTTGTCCATCCCCATGGACGATTAGCAGGTCTCCGGTGTCTTCAAGGACTAACGTCAGTGGTTGACTGTCGGCTAGGGTAGTATAAGGGCTGCCAGTCTCCAGAGACGAAAGGTGTGAGTCGGCTGACTTCATGGACGTACGCCAGAAGTCGGCTGTCTCCAGGGGCGGACACTGTGCGTTACTTACACCCGAAAGAGGATTAAGGGATCTTCTGTCTCCAGGACGAGCTATGGGGTCTTCTGTACTCAGGGACAGAAGTCAGGGACTGTCTTCTGAGGTGGACGCTGGGGATTCATTGTCGTCTGGAACGTATTTAGGGGTCGCCTGACTCCAGTGACGAACGGTAAGGTCGGTTGTCTGCAGGTACAAGCAGAGGCGATCGACTGCGATCGTAGATGGATGGCAGTGTTGGGACATTTGGAGGAGAAGAAGCTTATTGTCAACACTATCTTCTGATTTTAGTGGAAGAATTCCACAGTTTAAGCGTGATGTCTTCGGAAAGCAGCTATGTTATGGTTGTGGACAGTCGAAGGGATCATGGAGAATTTGAAGCTGAATGCATTGGCTACATTCTAAATTATCAAAACTGCTATTGGTGGTGGTCAGTATGGTCTTCCAGACCATTTAAGAGCGGCCAAATCAAGATCCCTTGTAATAAGCCCATATTTGAGCAGGAGTGTCACATGGGACGTCATCTTAACGAGACCTCGGCGCCAGCAGAGTTGAACAGGCGGATAGAACTGCTGTTGACAGATGTTCTGACGTTACCTGCAGCTACAGCTCTGAACAGCACAGCCTAGATACGTCTAGTGTGAGGCAGTTTTATGGACATTTTGTCTTGCATTTCCACATTACTTGCAGTCATGGGTGCGGGAAGGGAGCAACACGGAAGGCACGTGTCCCCCTCCTTAGGTCCCACGGGACCCGAAACCGGCGATCAAGGCCCCAATTGAGGCACCGGAAGAACTAGAAGGGCTGGCCGTAGGACGTATTAAGGACGCCAGCCCGTAGGGCCGTCGTCCCTAATGTCGGTCAGACGGCCCCTTGCACCGGTTGGGAACCCTTGGGACGCGGGCCTGTATTTGGGCCGGGGACGACCAACACCGATCAGCCGGTTACGTGTCGGTCTGAGCCCCGGAAGTCCATTTCCTAAGCAGGGATAAGTCTGGAGCCCGCGATTTACGTTGGTCGGGGCTCCTGATGCAATGAGAGGCTCCTTTGTCTTTCAGGGATCACCAATACCATATGGGGGCTCTAAGTCAGCCAGAGGCGCATTTTCAGAACAGGGACAGAGACGGAACCCTGAATGTCAGAGGTCCTCTTCCGTTGGTCGGGGGCCTCTGACAATGAAAGGAGATAGATATGAAAACTTAAGACGAGAGTCCACAGTGAAACAGTGAATGCCAATCAGGAGCCTCAGCACCGAACTGGGGACCGCCACTCCTTTTCAGCCAGGGACACGATAAGCCGAACTGAAGGCTCTGTGCCAATCATTGGACACCTGTGGCGAGAAGGGACCTTCTTGGGTCAGTGGGGGGGGGGGGGGGGGGGGTCAGGATTCTGTGGTCAGAACTGCCCGGTGAGAGGATCTCCCATATCGGAGAGGGAACCGATGTGTGATGTATCCCTCTAAAGGGTTCCGGGGCGAGCAGGAGGCCCCGCCATGTATCGCCAGCTTGGCAGCCGGTAGACATACCGGGCTGGTATGAAATGGCCATTTGGCCCATGACTGAAAGAAATGACGTGCCCTTAGTTCTCTACACACTGGGCCCCTTGCCCGGCGAAGGTGAGGTAAGCGCTTTTTTAGAGTGCAATAGGATGGATCAAAATGGGGACAACATTGCGTATTGACACAGTCGATCCAGCCTTATCTGAGGACCCCGCCCTTTTTCAGAATAGACCGATGAAGCAAATTATACTAAGATGTCTTTGCGTGCTCTCGTGCTTTGCGTGCGTGCTTTGCGTGCTCTCGTGCATGCGTGCTCTCGATATTTTTGGACCAAGAACACCGACAGCCGGGGTAGCAGCTTCTGTCAGCCCTAACGGTGTTAGCCGCTGCAGATAACGCCAGGCGACGGACGAAGCACGCCCGGGAACGACCGTGTGTCGCAAAATAAGGGTTCTGATAGCACTTCAAATTTATTCGTACCGTTCAAAGATTAAACTGGACTGCATATTACATATATATATATATATATATATATATATATATATATATATATATATATATATATATATCCTATTACGTTTGCCGTTTGAGCATATTGACAGTTAGCGCGACACAAAAAACAAATTTCACAATTACGTGAGGAGTTCGCGGTGCTGTAAATGTCAGTCTATCCCGTTATTGAAGAAATCGCAGCAGTGAAATCGATGGCAAGGACTACCTTCCTAATTACAAATTTATGTCATAGCGTTTTCAAAGGTGCTTCTGTCAGTCATGTATCGCCTTCGTCCTCTCGTTGGCTGCTTAGTGCTAGCTACAACTCCAAACCCGCGCGGTCAATGGAGACTGCAACGCTGTGCATCGGTGTTCATGTCTGAAACCTGTGAGCGCGTTTGTTCAAAACCATGCTGGATGCTCTTTCGCCACTTGAATTTGAACGATAGATGAACATTCTTAGACGAACAGAGGCTGCCCATGTCAATACAAGTTTTTGACCTTAGTCCTTGCGGTCCGCAAGGTACGTTTAATCCACGGGGTCCGTCCTCACTTCTTTGTAGAACCTGCAAATGTACTGCGAATCCCAGGAGGGCTATCGGTTTAGAAAAAGTTCACTGCGGCGTTAAAAAAGTGCCGGCGGCTCATTCCATGCGATCATTTACGCCTCATACCTTTAGGTAATTACCTTCAACATAGAATCAGAATTGCATCTTCCGTTGGCCTCTGGCTCCTGGCAAGAAACAAAATTAAAACAAACAAAATCCACACCTCGAAATCAGTCGGGCTAAGTATGGGATCTCTTTCTTGGGGAAGGAGGCTCTTACCAGCAGGAGTCCTTTTTAACCCTGTGCCCCCCTCGCGTTACCCGCTTACAGTGGGTGAGGCCATTTGAATCTCTTAATACGACAGAGTGAGACAGTGCTGCAAAGGACACGCACTTTCTGATAACACAACCGAGGTAGCTGAAAGTGGACAGGCCTATATAAAAGTCAAGATCATAACTACACTTTATGCGGGCAGGGATATCACAGTTGCACATCGCACACAGCTGCCGTGCGGTGTGCGATGTGCCACCACCGGAGTTGAATCGTATACATATACCCAAACGGCGAGATAATGGAGTCGGGATCAGTTGCGCATCGCACACAGCTGCCGTGCGGTGTGCGATGTGCCACCACCGGAGTTGAATCGTATACATATACCCAAACGGCGAGATAATGGAGTCGGGATCAGTTGCACATCGCACACAGCTGCCGTGCGGTGTGCGATGTGCCACCGCCGGAGCTGAGTCGCATACACATACCCAAACGGCGAGATAATGGAGTCGGGATCAGTGGCACATCGCACACAGCTGCCGTGCGGTGTGCGATGTGCCGCCGCCGGAGTTGAGTCGCATACACATACCCAAACGGTGAGATAATGAAGTCGGTATGCATGGACGGGCGGTCGATTACTTCGCAGACAAATGGATCTCTTACTTCGCGGCGCATCGTGTTAATGATTGTTGGGAATTACGGCATAGAGACGCCGTTCAGGACAGCTGTCAGTTAGCAATGCATCATAAGGATCTCAAATTACCCAGTCGTGTTCCTTGCTGTATGGAGGCGTGGGATAAGCGGTGTGTTGCCATGTAGTGCATAAGCTATTGGTGATGAACGGATACGATCTGAGCATACCTCCGGGCCGGCAGCAACATGCCTAAGATTTCGAATCTCCCTGACTGCAGCCTTATGTTCCTTGAACAGCGATCGCTTGTTGCAGCCCGGTACCGTACCGAGCTTACCTCGGCGGAGTGTGAGGCATGCTACGACTGGTCAAGGCCGGCGCAGACCTGCGGCAGCCGCCTCTGCTGTTTATGGTGCTCAGTAATAACCTTGTCGATGAAGAACCCCTGTCATGTTGCTATAAACGAGCCACACGGGATACTGAATTATATGCCCTTCGACCGGTGCCGTGGCCGTTCGCTGCTGACTAAGCGTCTGTCGAGTTGGCGGATGAACGCCGCCTGGCACCCCGGCCCGACCTCCTGGGGACCTGTGCACCGCCTGGCACCCCGGCGCGACCCGTCAGGGACCTGTGACCGGCACAGACGACGGCGCGGCCTCCCATTCAGTTAGAGGGCTCCAGTCCCAACTTGGAGAAGGCGGTTGGTAAAATTTGGGGAGAAGTCCGCTTTTGGTTTTTCGGAGGTATGTATAGTCATTTTGTTGGCGCATTCCCAACTAATTTCTGCGACCCGGCGCCCTGGTGACGCTGCTGACGCCGGTCCCCTGGTGACGCCGCTGACGCCGGTCCTGCGCCCTGGTGACGCCGCTGACGCCGGTCCCCTGGTGACGCCGCTGACGCCGGTCCCCTGGTGACGCCGCTGACGCCGGTCCGATGTTGCAGGCGATGGGTGCTGCACGGCAGCGTCTGTGAGATGTTCCCTCTCCGGCTGCTGGTCGCCCTCGGATGGATCTGCCTCATCGCCGCCCAGCAAGGTGAGGCGTCGCGCTCGGCGTGGCGGCGGGCGAGGCGCGCGATGAGGCGGCGGCACGTGAGCAGGTGATAGCACCGCAGGCCGTCATTACGATCGGGTGATGAGAGGCAGAGAGGCGTCGGCTCACGCAACCCCGGGGCTCGACCGGTGGACCGAGATATCACTGAGGCTTCCCGGCCGGCTGGCTCGCTGATGGATCGTCATTTCGCTGCATCGGGCTCATCTGCATGGGAGACGTGTGGTCGGCTGTCGGCGCGCGCTCAAGCTCAAATAAGCAATCACTCTGCTAGTTTGTCGCGTGGCTAATAAATCGTCACAGATAGACATTATTCAACAGCCAAGCTCGTTAGCATGTCCTTAGTATCGGCTCCCACCAAACGCCGTGTCGAACAATGGATCCAACTTAGTAGATTTTCGCCGTGGGGCTTTTCCTTTACAAAGTCCTATCACGGCTGTTTTCGGAATAGATCGTTGATTGTGGACTGCTGACAGCCCTATAAGCATCTCTCCGCCTGCGCCAACACGTGTTATTCCTATGCATGTTAAATGCCTTCAAGGATTAGTTCTGCGATGGTGTGCTGGTGACTTGCACAAGTGTCAGCAAGCCGCCTTACCAGTCAGCGATTTGTCTTCTCGCGAAGTGCACGAGCACGGGCACACGAGGCCGAACACGACAGAAAGAGGCGGTGGTGACAAATACGGATTGTTCATCAATCAAGACTGGCTCGCGGCCCCCGTTTTTGACAGCTCTGGCTGCGTGCCTGGCTGCGCAGCTTCGGCGGCGCTTCAGCCCGCTCTGCCCGGTACTCCCAGATCACAGCTGCGCGAATCTAGCGCGGCGGAAGCCGTCCTTGGCACTGGCCGCCTCTCCCTGGCGGCAGCACGCTGCCAGCGGGCGCACGACCACCGCACGGTCGGCTGGGTGCGGCCTTTGAGGGGCGCGGCCGAGAGCTGGCGCTGACAGGGTCTCCCATCCGGAGAGCCGGCTGCTGGCGCCCCCTGGTCTCAGTTGTGGAGACCTCGCACCATGTCCGCACCTCGCTCGTCCGCTCCGAGTAGACGAGCGTGGCCGTCACAGGTGGTTCCTTATGTTTGATTTCGAAGCTCGGGGACTCACTTCTGTTCATTGGTACTCCGAAGGACATGCTTGGGCCTTTTGAACACACTTACAGGCGGCGGCATTACAGCCGACGTGAAGTGTTTGCGTGTCATTTCTGAGTGGCTTTAACTCGCTTCACGTCTTCTTTTTACACTGACCGCCTGCCTGCACACCGTTGCCTTAATCAATCGCCGTAAGCTCTCGACATCCCCTTCGAAAAATTGGAACCCATGGTGGCACAACCCTGCTTGGTTTCCACAAGCGCCAGTCTCGCAGCTCCCTCGCCTCACTGCCCTTTGCAAACCGTCCTCCCGTCCTCCACCAGCGCTCGCGCCGGCTTCCGGTGCTCGGCGCGCGGCACCCGCCGGTCGCCGGCGGCGGAGCCGGCTCAGCCGACTGACCGCGTCCGCCGCGGCCGGTCCGTCCGCTGACTGCGCCGGCCGATGACAGATGGCCGACCGAGGCCGGTGACGGTGACGGATGACGGTCGCTCGTGCCCGAGGGGGGAGGGACGACCGGACCCCAACTGGTCACGCCGCGCCGCCTGTCCCCCTGCAACAGCGCGGTACAGCGCAGCGGCAGCGTGTCGCGATGACAGAAGCCTCGCGGTCGGCCCTGAACCCGGGTGTAGACATGGAGTGCCGGGTGTCAGTCTGTGCATGTGGTGCAGACATGTGCAGAAGTGCGTGAGTTGCACCTCTTCATGCGTGCGGAATGACATTCGCTTGAATATATCATGGGAAACATGTTGTCACTGGCCCACATATGCCCATTGCGCTTCAGCCCGGCCTAACATATCTTGCGAAGAAGTATCTCTTGCCGGTGCATTTGTGACCTTGAAGCATTTGATATCCTACATTAGAGATTTGGACATTTGGGTTTGAGGTGTGAAGTATCACGCCAGATTCGTCAATTGGCCCCGGTCAACTTATGCCGACAATCTTGGGTGCACGACCCGGCTTCAACCCGTGTGGCTTGTGGTTCTCCTGAACCAGTCCAGTCCCACCCGGGACGGAAGCCGGTCCGCGAAGACCTCTAATTACAGTCTGCTGGGTGCTGACGGTGACTGCGGTGGTCTCTCGCTTTTCACAACCCAATCTGGACGGTCATCTCTCAGCCGGCTTCCGTCGGCGCCTTTGATGTTGTCACGGTCCCGGTCACGCGCCGTTAGCTCCCATGCCCCCCCCCCCCACTCCTACTTCAGTAGGCAGCCCAGTGGGGAGGGCCGTCCGTCATCGGCGGGATGCTACCAGCGGTGATTTAGTAGTGTTTTCTCTGCGGCCAGCGGGCTGTAATGCGAAACAGCGGTTGGGCGCCCGCGGAAGCCGAAGTCCCGGATGTAATGCGCTGCCTCGGGTTGGACTGCTGCACGAAAGAGGGACGATGTGTGTCGTAAGCTGGTGCAATGAACTATACCGCATGTCGTTGAGTGCAATAGCATTTTTCAGGGGGAACTTCGCCAATGCTTCGGGCCAAAGCGAGATATGTCTGGGCGTGTCTCTCAAAATGTAGAATGCGAATTACGCCTTCCTTCTGTAGAGCAACAGCACTGCCGGCGCCTTCGGGCAAGCCAGGTGAGCAGGCGCCCAGTCTGTCGTTAGACAGCAAAGGCAAACATGTCTGCTTGCCTACCCGGAAATGCGAATACCTTCTCCGTTCTCTATTTTGGAACGTCCCTGCACGGAATATCAAATATTGCTTCTATGTACTTCATACACGTAACTGTTTCACCTAAAGCGCCTGCAAGACTAATAGGCAAATGAACGGGTAGTTATTTGATCCTACGCCTTGGTCAATGCAAAGTGTCAGACTGTTCGCTGCTGCAAACAACCATGTGACTGTACGGCAGCAAAGGCTGCTGTCAGTATTCCTCATTCTGCTATGCATCCCCCAATATCTGCTGTGCTGAAACTACCGCCGCCAACAATGGTACATTCGGTTTATATTAGATCATACTTTTATGCACACGTCTCTTCTTTGAACTCCGAAGGACTAAACAGTAGGCAAATTTTACTTTTATCACATAGACATCGACATTGAGGAGAACATAGCCAATTGCAATGAACGCCCGCGCATAATGTGGCCCAGGACTCCCGGATATGTTTGCCCTTTAATGTTGACACAGCATGTAAAAACGATGCTTGGGCAAACATGCCAAGTTTCAAGGGGTTGTTCAGTGCATTCGTGAGGAGCATTATTTACATAGATTAGACGGTAGCAACAGCCGTATTCCTCGGAGAAAACCCTGAAGAATGAAGTAACAGATTGGTTGACATTTTGGCAAAATGTCTTTATCAAGACAATAACAGAAGATTAATGACTGAGATGATCAGCGCACGATTATCTCAGTCAATATTCTCACTTGATATTCTGTGCAGTGACATTCCAAGGTAGGGAACAGAGGAGGGATTCACATCTCCCGCAGCAAGGCGGGAGACCGCATTCGGAACAGAGGCTGCCTTTTCATGATCAGGAACCCCGTCGCGGCGGAGAGAAGGCGTTTGTTTGGCTCGAGAGGACGCTTCAGTCAATTGGGACATGTGCCTGAGGTTCCGGAAAGGGATCCCAGGATCCCATAAGCAAGGAGCCTAATGGAATGCTGGATCCACCCTCGGGATCCAGGCACATGCTTGCCAGCAATAATGGGATAAGTCATGCAGACTTGTTGGATGGTTTTACGCAAATCTCTGAAAGCTAGAGCTGCACTGAGATCGTAGAATCCCACACATGATGGCTATGTTCCCACATATCATTGCCAAAAAGGCGGCCCCCAACGTCCGTTTGGTAGGCACGATGTTAAATCAATTCGCATATATCTGGCACGGCTGACAGTCACCCGTGCCTCGGACAAGTGAGATATGACTTTGGGTGTAAGGAAACATAAACGACTTTGTCACTGTCGGCAGGACCGGAAATTATGCACATACATAATTAAACATTGCATTACAAAGTAGCCACAAGCACAATCAGCCGGAACATATTGAAAAGTCAGTTAGCCCGAGGAAGCCTTTGCATGGTCGGGGCCTCAAGAATACAGAGCTTTCCACCCTCCAACAAGATCGCAGCATCGCCCTTGGGCGACAGAGAAGTGAATAAATTGTCTTGGGATAGACACAAACAAGCTGACTGATCCCGCACGCAGACAGGTCGTCCAAGACAGCAACAGTCACTTCGGAACAGACAAGATAGACAGGCAGCCTTGGAACAAACGTGGTTGAACTACAACCCGGATGGCACGTCGTGGCCAAGACAGGCGCAGAGTACAAGGCGCATAAGTATGGATCATGTGCGACTCTGATGGTAAGATCGAGACACATAGGTATAGGATCCACATAGGATCCGCATCCGCATCCGATCCGCATCGTCGCACAGGAGTCACACATGCGGGTGTGTATCTGTAGCAATGTGATCCGGGCAGATGTTACTGAGCCTGCTGAAGTGACACCTCTCCAGTGGCCTGATGTGAAGCGCATCGTACATTCTGCATGCAACAATTTTCTTCTTATTTGATCCCCCGCCGCTTCTCACAGCGGTTCAGCCCTGCGAAATGGAGCATCACCAACCCTCAGTTATTTTTGCCGTCTGAACTCAACGCCCCGCAGTCGCGTAGTACGATACCTCTCGCCACATGCCGTGTTGATGGAGAGGGCTGCCTGGTGTGGTACCCATCCAGCAGCGGGCTCCTCCTGCAGCTGCCCGTCAGCCTGTCAGCGGCCGAGCTGGCGCCGCCGCCTGCCGCCTGCCGCCTGTCGGCTGGTCCGGCTCGCCAGCCGCCGTGTCGGGGATCGGCCGAGGTGTGAGCTCCCGGCCTGAAGCCAGAGTCGAGATGTGAGGTATAAGTCAGAGCCAGAGTCGAGGTGTGAGGTCCCGGTCTGAAGCCAGAGTCGAGATGTGAGGTATGAGTCAGAGCCAGCGTCGAGGTGTGAGGTCCCGGTCTGAAGCCAGGGTCGAGATGTGAGGTATGGGTCAGAGCCAGAGCCAGAGCCTAGGTGTAAGGTACGGTCCAGACCCAGAGCCGTTGTGTGAGGCCGTGCCAGAGCCAGAGCCGAGGTGTGAGGCCGGGCCAGAGCCAGAGCCGAGGTGTGAGGAGATGGGTGGGCGGAGCCGCCTCTGGCACCGCTGCCTTTGTCGGCACAACCAAGGCGCCCGAGATATGTGTTGGGTGCAGCCTAATCACTGTGCGGACGGGTCATGGAAACAGTCGGCATACCAGAAGCGACGCTTGGTGCAGCCGCTGATTGCAGAGTTGCAGGCCATTTTGAAAGTCGCGCGGCAATCAAGGTGGCTTGTAGCATCTCAGACTTATTGTCTGGTTGATGTTCGTCGCTGCAGCTTTGGAAAATGAGCTGTTGGTCAGCTAGTTGCTTAATTGCGTTTGATTTGTTAATCATGTCGAAAGAGAGCATCGGGCGACCCAAGTACGCTGAAGTAAGATAGTGAAAACGTTGGCGAGCATACCGCGTGGTTCTCGAGCTGTGCGCGATGTTCACGCGTCGTGCTGTAAGACACATGCGCGGTGCTCCCGTGTCGTTTTGTAAAACACATGCGCGATGCTCACTTGTCGTGCTGTAAGACACGTGTGCGATGTTCTCGTGTCGTGCTGTAAGACACATGCGCGGTGCTCCCGTGTCGTTTTGTAAAACACATGCGCGATGCTCGCTTGTCGTGCTGTAAGACACGTGTGCGATGTTCTCGTGTCGTGTTGTAAGACACATGCGCGATGCTCACTTGTGCTGTAAGACACATGCGCGATGCTCCCGTATCGTGTTGTAAGACACACGCGCGATGCTCACTGGTCGTGCTGTAAGACACGTGTGCGATGCTCCCGTGTCGTGCTGCAAGACATTTGCCCGATGCTCCCGTGTCGTGCTGTAAAACACATGCACGATGCTCCCATGTCGTGATGTAAGACACATGCGCGATGCTCACTTGTCGTGCTGTAAGACACATGCGCGATGCTCCCGTGTCGTGCTGTAAGACACATGCGCGATGCTCCCGTGTCGTGCTGTAAGACACGTGTGCCGCACCACCTACGCGCCAGCTTCCGCTCCACATGACTGACGCTCATCTGAGATCGCTTCAGCCGTCGCACCGTCCCTCAACAACGAACAGTTTAGATGATAAACGTCACTTCCATGATGCCTTATCTTCAAGAACTGATGATAGTTTTGCTCGGAAATAGGCATAAGATACTGAAATTGTTCCAAAGCTGTCGACAGATGCCTGAATGACCGACGGCTTGGGCAATTTAATGCATGTGAAAGGACAACCTATTCTACGCATTTACTTTTTACGCGATTACTTTAATGCGATTACTTTTTATGTCCAATTATTACGCCTGTGCACATGTCTCATCAAAGGTGAACCAAGTCGACGCTTGCATCATACACATCTATCAGTAACCAGGACAGTATGGATCACATGCAGTATGCTTACCGAGCCAGTAGAAAGGAGGTTATTTCATATCTGGAACAATATGTTAGGTGCCAACCGCTTCTCCTTAAGGCGTGTTCAGTAATGAACAGGAGCTAGATCTACTTCCCACAAATCTGAAGCCACGCTGTGATGATATCCATGAGGCTACGTGCGGTCAGAGTAAACACGGGATGTTGTCGGCAAAATACCCCTAGCTGCTGTTTACCATAAACTCTTGCCGATTACAGTACGCGCTGTTGGACACGCCATGCGCCATACTGCGTCCCGCACTGGGCGCTCCACGCTCACTTTCGGCGTTCCCCCTGGATTTGACTCTTGACAGCGCCGCACCTAACCCGCAGGTCTGGGAATCTTCTTCGTGAAGGAGCCGCAGTCGGTGGTGGCGCTGCCTGGTGGCGAGGCGGTCCTGACATGTGCCACCAACCTGGCCGTCGACCACCTCGGGTGAGCACCGCGTCACTGGTCCAGCCGCTGGCCGTCCCAGACGTGCTTGGTCTATGCACCGCTGCAAGCGACTGCCAAAATGCTGAAGGAATGAGCGAAACAGAGAAGTTTGTGAAATCCTTTGTCGAGTGCCGCGTTTCAAGAGATGTCTTAGCGGTGGAATTAGAGGCTATAGGTGAAAAACAAGCTTGATGTGGTTCTGCATCTCAAACGAAATTAAGCCACTGGGGTTACTAATAGCCTACATTTTTGAAGTGCTACAACTGTACACATCACTGCCAAGAAGTCGTTGTGATAGGTGACATACTGCTGGTGTTCCATGTCTCCAAACATTCCATCTGTCCTGCTTTGTCGGTTTTGTGTCAGCCATTCATGTCAGCTATCTGTAACTTACGTGTGGTCCATTTTGCGTTTGGCAAGTTGGCACAAGGCGTGCCGTCGCCCGCCAAACCCAGCCGGGGCTCATCGTGAGGTGAAATCTGATGTCAGCAGTGTCTTTTTCTCTCGCTAGATGGCTGCGCGACTGGCAGCCCCTGGAACCTGGCAGCGACCCGACGATAGACGTGCGACCGGGCCGGCTGCGGATCCGGATCGGACAGGATCCGGATCTGTACCGGCGGCATACCGGAGAGTACAGGGTCAGTCGGTGACTGCACGTGGACGCCAGCCTGACATAGTCTGGCACTTTCATCACTCAGATCCGCCAGCTGTGATCACCACCCGTGTCCAGCAATCAGTTGTGACCACCACTCGCGTCCAGCCATCAGCTGTGACCACCACCCGTGTCCAGCCATCAGTTGTGACCTCCACCTGTGTCCAGCCATCAGCTGTGACCTCCACCCGTATCCAGCCATCAGCTGTGACTTCCACCCGTGTCCAGCCATCACCTGTGACCTCCACCCGTGTCCAGCCATCAGTTGTGGCCGCCACCCGTGTCCGCCCATCAGCTGTGACCACCACCAGTGTCCGCCCATCAGCTGCGACCGCCACCCGTGTCCAACCATCAGCTCTGACCGGCACCCGTCTCCAGCCATCAGTTGTGACCGCCACCCATGTCCAGCCATCAGCCGTGACCACCACCCGTGTCCAGCCATCAGCTGTAACCGCCACTCATGTTCGCCCTGCCCGCCACTTACGTCCGCCCTGCCCGCCACTCGTGTCTTGCCCTGCCCGCCACTCGTGTCTGCCCTGCCCGCCGCTCGTGTCTGCCCTGCCCGCCGCTCATATCCGCCCTGTCCGCCCGACAGTGCATGGCCTGGATCGCACCGATCGGTCTGGCCTCTCTGCCGGCCTCGGTGCAGGTGGCCCACACAGAGCCCTTCGCGCTGCGGCAGAACGCGACGCTGGTGGCGCCGCCCGGCGGCTCCGTCTCGCTGGCGTGTCCTCCGCCGGCCAGCGCGCCGCCCGCCGCCGTCCAGTTCTACCGCGACGGCCGGCCCCTGGCGCCGCGGGAGGGTGAGGAGGAGGGTGAGTGCTGGAGGAGGGTGAGTAAGCGCCGCAGGAGGGTGAGGAGGAGGGTGAGTGAGCGCCGCGGTAGGGTGAGGAGGAGGGTGAGTGCTGGAGGAGGGTGAGTGAGCGCCGCAGGAGGGTGAGGAGGAAGGGTGAGTGCTGGAGGAGGGTGAGCGAGCGCCGCAGGAGGGTGAGGAGGAGGGTGAGTGCTGGAGGAGGGTGAGTGAGCGCCGCAGGAGGGTGAGTGCTGCTATCACCGACTGGCACCGAGTGCCGAGAGTGTGACCTTGAGACGGGGGGCTAGTTAGCTATTGTTTATTGTCGCTTTAGACTTACTTGGTCCTAACAGCAAATTATATTTACGCCCTCTGTTTCAATGAAAATACTCATATCCTACCCTAATTATGACTTATTAAATTCAGATAAGGATGCGACGCATAGTGCAGAAGGAGGTGGCTTACAATGGCTTGAAAAGATCGGAGAGTGAAAGGAACCTTATCAGACAGTAGCACAAGCAACCAAAATTACCAGCGCCGTAAGGCCGTGGATATAGGATTTTTACGCGTGTAAAGCATGTCGTGTGATCATTTATTACCATGTAGCATTCCGTGGCTGTTGCCATTTTGCCCAAATGGATATGACCGAAAACTTACCTATTCTTTGCATAATACTATGATGCACCTACGTAGGACATAAGCGGCGGAAGCGTCCCCTGGCATCTGATGAATAAACTTCTCGACGACTCGTCGTCACTCGAGCTCCAGTAGGCACTATTAATTTGAACATGGCGTGTGCTGATTCAAACTGCTTCAGTTGAAGGGGATTAGAGCGCGTACTGACTGTCGTGCACAAACTAGTGCTGTACTCTGGCGGCTGAGGACCCAGATCGGTATCACTGCGTCTGCGTTGGAGGTGCCCATGCATGCCCCGCTGGTCTGCCTGACCCGGTGGTGCCACCTGCCCATCCCCAGACACGGCGGTGCTGCTCTCTGGCGGCCCCGCCTTCTCCTGACCGTCGTCAGCAGCGCGGACGCCGGGCTGTACACCTGCTCAGGCGCGTAATCCTCGATCCGGACACCAGGTGCAGCACGGTTTGCCACCCGGCTGGAGGTGCGCCAGGCGGCGGAGAGTCGGCCGCCGCGGCTGACAGTGCGGCCCCGCGTCGAGTACCGCGCCGCAGCCGGAGACACCCTCAGGTCAGCTCCCCTCCCCCACCCGCACAGATCGCGCCTCCTTTGGCCATGTCGTACTGTCCAGTTCTAGACGGCCGCCACGTCGAAGGCACCGAGGGTTCAGGTGCACTATATTCACGACCGCCCATCGCCTAGCACCGCACCTTAACTCCAACCAGACTCGCGCCTGACCAAGATTCGACCTGATTATTGTCATACGCCGCCGGTCTGCACAAAGCGGCTCGCAGCCTAATGACCACAGCCTAAATTCAGCTTGCTCTATAAGCCAGTCATCGCGACTGGTCATGTTGTGTGAGCGGTATGTGGTGATGCCATAACTCCATGCAAGAGGTGCTCTTCACTAGTGCTGCGTTTATTCTGTCTGTTGTCGTTTCCGACAAGTTTGAGGCTTTGTGCCTTGGACGTTGAGTCGTGCCAAAAAGTAAAAAGCTGTTCATTCAATGTCGTGCCTTATCGACATGTGCCAGCCAGGCCAGGCTAGGCCAGCCTTTACCGCAATCCGGAGATTTGCCAGCCGCTTTGCTCTGATGTACTGGAAAAGTTGATGGACGTGTAATCGAATTCGATTATTTTTTTTCTAACCTGATCCTCTCGTTTGATCAAATTTGTAGGCTGTCTTGACTCCATACCCCGCAAAGGCAAACAAAAAAACACGGCAAAGGCTGCCACGGTGTCCCTTAGACACGACGTCCTTCACAACACCAAACCGTGCTCATGAGCGCGCTCGAATTTCACTTGGGGTTACCGCTAGTGCAGTGGTTAAGCTGCTACGCCGGGAAACTAGAGATGCGGGGTTTGGTTTCCCGCAGTGCCCGCCCTTCTGGTCAAAGCGAGAAAGGCAGGCAGGCGTCGCCATATAGCCTTGGCTGCAAGACGCATCGTAAATCCCCAATGACGCGCGCTCAAACACACGCGCATTTCGCTTGACGCGTGCCCCTGCGCGCCGGCTCTGACCGCCGCCGGTGCGCTTCGCAGACTGGAGTGCGCGGCGGAGGGCTGGCCGCTGCCCGCCGTGTCCTGGAGGCGGCTGGACGGCCGCTGGTCGGACCGCTACGTGCAGCTGGCCGGCCGGCTGGAGATCTCCCGGCTGCGGGCCGCCGACGAGGGCGACTACGCGTGCGATGTGACCGGCTCAGAGGGGTCGCTCACCGCCGCCACTGCCGTGCGCGTCACAGGTGAGGGATATCGCACCTTAAGACGCGGCTGTCAGGCGGGCTCTGGCCAGCGTGATAGCGCTAGGTTTGTGCTGCTCACGCTGGTCTGGTATGGCTCCTGTGTTGGAGCTGTTTGAATTCTCCTAAACTCTCCCCGCCCGACCCGACCTGATCTGACCTATCTCCAAATGCACCGTCGGTAGAGGCTTCGCCGGCTGTCCTAACCTGACGCTCGCTTTCCTCACCAGAACCGCCAACGGTGGACACCTCGCCCTCGGACCTGACGGTGCCCGAGGGTTCACCGGCGTCTTTGCGCTGCTCGGGCCGCGGCTGGCCGCCGCCGCGGCTCGAGTGGGTGCTGGACGGCCGGCCGCTGGTGGGAGACGGCCGGCCGCGGCTGGACGGCGACCGGCTCCTGTTCGACGCCGTGACTCGGGAGAACGCCGGCCTGTACCAGTGCTTCGGCCGCAGTGAGGCGGGCCATGCCAAGACCGCCGTGCTTCTTAAGGTAGCGGCTCAGCGGCCGGTTGCGCTGCTGCGCTGGCTTGTCACCAGCGCAGGGTCACTGCCGCAGTAGATGCACAGTGAGGCTTGCCGCGAGTTTTCTGCACCCGCTGAATATAGACACTCTGTAAGAAATTTGCGGCGCGGGTTTCACCTAGCGTTATTGCCCATACCTGCCCTGTTTGCGGAATGCAGTTTTGCGCCCGTCCATGCGTCACAAAGACGTATGGAATATAATGAGCAGGCGTGTCGCACCACCTTCTTATTACGAATCGGCTCTTCAGTCAGCTGCTTTTTGGAGCCCGGCAGTTCCCAGCGCACGCCCTCAGCCGTGCCTCAGAGCTGGAAAAAGCGTGCTGCTCTTGTCCGGCAGGTGATCCCGAAGACGACCGTATCGCTGGACGTGCTGCCGTCCCGGACAGCCATGCCTACCTCACCGGCGTCCCCAGCGCCCCGTCACACTGGCAGTCACCGGCGCAGTCACGGCGCCAGAAGGGCAGGCGAGGGTGAGCACGGTGGGGGAGGCGGTGTTGAGCACGTTGAGAGGAGAGGCGCGGTTGGGCACGGTGGGAGGAGAGGTGGGGTTGAGCACGGTGGGGGAGGGAGACCAGACCAGACCAGATCGGTGAGAACCAAATCAAGCCAAACCAAACCAAAACCGGGCCGGACCGATCCGAGCGGATTTAAGCTGACCAGACTCGGCCATACCTGATCTGACCTGACCTGATCTTATCTCATCTTGTCCGAGTCAATCCAACCCGACGTGACCCGACCCGTGTGTCCGGCAGCGCTGATGGTGCCCCCTGGCGCGCCCCGCGTGTACCCCATCTCGGAGAGCTCGGTGATGCTGCAGTGGGACGTGCCGCCCAACGACGGCCTGGCCATCCTCTTCTTCAAGATCCAGTACCGGCGCGCGCCGCGGCGTCTGCACGCCTGGCAGACGCTCGACTCGGACGTGCCCGGCACGGCTCGCTCGTTCGAGGTCGGCCAGCTGCAGCTCGGCGCCAAGTACAAGTGAGTGCGCTGTTTGTCTCGTCTCCCGGCGGTGGCGGTCCTGGGCGGCTGCGATGCGGTCCGGAACGCGCTTGTTGAGTCGGTTTGTTGGTGGCTGGGGCGTTTGTGTGTTGTTCGACTTGCTAATGGGTGTGTTATGATCTCAGCTTTGAGGAACTTAAAGCCCGTTTCGGGAGCTTTTCTTAATATACTAAATGCTGGCAGCTGTAAGTTTGGTTGTTTGGATTAGAGCCATTTCGACCAGAAACAATGATTTCAGGTCTGTGGGATGAAGAAAAGTGGTTAATGATGGAGCAGACTTGCATGCTCCTGGCGGACCAACCGCCGAGCTTTGACCCCCGCATATGCGCTGGGTATCCGGTTGGGGTCCCCCCTCCCACGGGGCTCTCGGCCCACTCGTGGCTGACGCGTGCAGCCTGCCCCGGACAAGCGGGGTGTTGCGAGGATGCAGCATGAAGCAAGACAGAGGATGAAAGGGTCGTCTGTGGTCTGTAAACTTTCGTATAATGGTGTCTTATGTGGTGGAAGCATCTGCTTAGGCAAGTGTGGCGGTATGCAAGTGACATGATATCGGTTTCATTGTTCACAGATTCCGCGTGCTAGCTGTTTACGAAAATAAAGACAACAAACACGGACCAAACTCACGAAAAGTCAAGATTATCCGCATGAGTAAGAAGTCAAAGCCTCCAGGAGCACCCATCATCACCATGCATAGCTCAGAGGGTCCCAATGGCATCCGGTGTTCGTGGATGTACTACAACTTGCAGGCGTCGCCGATAGAGGGCTACTTCATCTACTACCGTGACACCACAACGGCAGGAGACTACTCCAAGGTTAGTGGCCCTCGGCGGCCGTTCTCAGACGCAGATGCTTACGAATAGTTAATGGACTCAGCTGAGCTAATAACGGAAAGCTTTTAGTAATAAAAACGTCATCCAGACGAGAATTGGGCCAGGTGCGGGCTGTTCTTGCTTGGCTCTTGACCGCATCTGAGACGCATCGTTTGCGCTGTGTTCCCACCGAAGCATTAAAAAAGCGAGTCACGTATTGGCGATGTTTTGCTTAAATGTGGACTAAGTGGCTATCAAAAAGTGTGTATGGTGCACATCGAGTTATGTTGAGCGTTTGAGATTCATACCCTACACGTGTCGCAATGTTGGAATGTCCTGTACGGCGTTTGGCAAAGCGCGATACACGGGGCAGTGCGTGCTTATCGCTCACACCATTTATTCCCCGATCGGCGGGTTCTTGAATGAGGGGGCGGGCGGTCCACATCCTTTGCCAAGGTGCTCAGAGAGGATGCAGCGGTCAGATAATGCTGCCGTACGATCCGTCTCCGAGGAGGGCAGTCTCCAACCCTGGGAGTGTTGGCATGGCGGTCCCATGGCTCACCCGAGGCCCTTTAAACTAACCACGACCCTTGAACAGCCGAATAAAAACATTTGCAAATAAAGAAATTGTGTCATCCAAAAGGCTTATCTTTACTTAGAATAAGATTACAATTTTCAGCTCAAAAGTTGTTTTTCACCTCTAATATATTTCATCTGTCTAAATGCTCTTTAATACAATTCCCTATGATCTGCAATGTTGTCAGTTTCGCTTGTTGTGTTCACTGGTGCACTAAAGTATCGCTAACTGAGAGTACCACTATCCCGTTCTCTCCTCCGCACACAACACACGGTATGCCCTTCACAGATTTAAGATAGCGTTAGGAGGAATCGTGTTAAACTACAGAAAGGTTTTAAATGAATCGGGCCAGCGCACTGCCACTTGGTGTGCGTTTCATAAAACAACAATTTGCCGATGCGCTCTGCTTCCGTAAATAATTAGTGGGCATTCTCCCTCCACATACTGCAGTCATGGGGTGAACCATTTGGATCCCATGAATCTGCTGTGGTTGTCTCTGTTAATACCATGTTCTTGTCTCGTTTGGTATTAGGCGGATCTATGCATGTGCATTACCTAATATCTCTGAAAATCTCAGAACATATATAGGCAGTGAGCAAGCGCACTGTTGGTCAAATATGCGGAAAAGCTTGCCCTACTCTCGTCTCGTGATGGAGTAGCACAAGACAACTGCCTGCATATTTTCCCGTGTCTTCCATCGGCCGTGCGATTCACAAACAGTTGTCCACAGTGTCCATTTGTCTTATTTAGCCCCGGAGCCTGCCTCACCCCACTCTCTGTAACACGATGTACCCGTCCCGGCGGGACACCCTCGGCGAAGGTATATCGCATTGCATCGACATAGACTGTGGCGCTGGCGCGGCGGCGGCTCGACTGTGCGCGGCGAGAGAGGCGTCCGGCTGTGCAGTCCCGCCCTGTCGAGACGCCCGCGGCTGGGCGGCGAGCCGGCCGCCGTTCGAGGCCGACACGGAGCTGCGGCCGGGACGCCGGAGCGGCGGCCGGGGCTCGGGAGCGCTGCGGGCTGGGGCGGGACTGCCGCGAGGTGGGACTCGCAGCGGTAGAGCAGCAGCTGGAGCTCGGGTGCTCCGTGCAGCAGATAGGGGCGGCTAGCGGCGGCGAGCGCGCGGGTTCGCAGCACGGGGGACGGGGCGGACTGGGGTGGCTGCCGCGGGGTGTTACCATGAGACCGACGGCGGTGGGGCCTCGTTAACAGCTGGAAGGGAGATGGCAGTGGTTAGATTTGAAGTCATTTTCATGTAATGCGGTAGGGTTGCGGTTTGATTTTTCGTCTGTTTATCTGCTCCGCAATCTACAGGTGACTACTGCAGAACGTGCTGGCTGCCTTGCTTTGTGTTTATGCAAACCTTTGCTTACTTGACGGGTTAGAACGTGCCTTCAGCTTACGTAGCTCGGGCATACTATTGGCGCAAACTCTAGGTTTACTACTTATTGTTAGTTGGTCGGCACTACAACTACATCACCACTATCTCTCTCTCCTGCTTAGCCTCGTCCATCACATGCCATTCCCACCAGCCGTTCAGGGGAACGATCGAACTCCATCACATGCTCAGGCGGTCGCCTAATCCGATGACACACTCGGCTGCACGGTGTAGTGCACACACCAGAGTCGCTAAGTGAACGACCGCCGCAGGCGCGCCGTCTCACAGGATGGGGTATCGAAGGGCGCCGTAATTTGGCAGCAGCATTTTATGTTACAGCATGATGGCAATATCATAAGCTGATTGAAGTTTAATGTTCCTCGTTGTGACTCCATCGGTGATAACTACAGGACTTCAGGGGTGGGCAAACTCATGGGCAGTCATCTGAAATGGGTAACAGACTGGGCTGGCTATGTATTTTGGGAAAATCCAGGGCAGATAAGACAGTGGTGAGTCTCGTTCCTGGGAGAAAAACCAGGACAATGAAGATATAGATGCGTAAAAACTTACAACTCATGTAAAATCCAGGGCACGGGTACAGGTATGGGTATGCCGTTTCCGAAAAGTCGGGAAGCTTCGACATCCTGGAGAGCTTACCGCACACACACACACGCACACACACGCACACACACACACACACACACACACACACACACACAACACACACACACACACACACACACACACACACACACACACACACACACACACACAACACACACACACACACACACACACACACACACACACACACACACACACGGACGAACGGACGGACACACGCACGCACGCACGCATGCACGCATGCATGCACGCATGCATGCACGCACATATATTTAGATATGTATATATGTGTATAAATTTGTATATATATATATATATATATATATATATATACTTTAAAGCTTAAAAATACCGCTCGCACTTCTTTCCGCCACAATTAGCTCCATTTGCACTGCTGTCACGATAACCAACACAAACAGTATGCCCCGAAACTCTTCCATACTTTTGAACGTGAGCCTTTGAAAAATGCAATTGGGTGGCCAGCGGATGGGTACAACTAATTACGAATGGGTAGCGGTGAGTACGCGCATAGCTTCATAGGTAGCGGGTTTATTGGGTAACAAAGATCATACCCGTGAATGCCTCCAGGCAAAACACACTTCTCCCGTGATTCTGACGTCTGTTTGCACGAACTGTGGGCGCAGCTTCACTCCATCGATGCCGAACGGTACCCCCAGCCAGTCGTCAACCTTGCTCGTCGCGCTAGCTCTGCCTTATGTGACCGTGAGACAGCTCGACCCGAGCGTCCACCCTCACAATGCGTGTGCACGTCCAACCCCTGTGCTGTGGTGGCTTAACACTTACTCACTGCCGTGGTACCTCAGTCTGCATTCTTCGACATCCCTGCCCAACCTCTATTTTGCGGTGTGGCGGCTCTATTTACATAACAGAAGCCACGGCCTACCACATTTCAATTCAGGGAAGTGTTCAAGGTCCCGGACGGACGTTGCTGAACTGTCGCCTCAGGTGGGTTACCCCATGGTCGGCCCACAGTCCCATGGTTGGAGTGAGGTTGTGGGGAGGGGGGACACCATGCATCCCACCATCATGGAGCAATCAAGCATCAGTGCAGGTGTTCTGGTGTTGACGCTCAGCCAGATCCTACAGCTCTCTGGTTATGGCTAGGGTCAACTCGGCTCCGAAGCGGCTGTGCCCCGGTCTCCTCATGATCACACGTTCAGACAGTCGCTTGGTCCGATCACATGTTCAGACAGTCGCTGGATCTGATCACATGCTCAGGCAGTGGTTGGATCTGATCACATGCTCAGGCAGTGGTTGGATCTGATCACATGTTCAGACAGCCGCTGGATCTGATCACATGCTCGGATGGACGGTTTAGTACAGTACCTTAGGCTCGGCGAAATAAGGCATAACACTTTATGACTTCAGGAATTGAGTGCAGTCGTCAAATAGATTCTAACGTGCCGTGAAAACGGACTGAAATACGTCCAATCCGTGTCCAAAAGAACCACGCAGACGCCCCGGGGCGCCCGTGTAATCCTCTGTGGGTCTATGTCGGGCCTGCTGGACCATCTGGAGCAGCCGCCGAGCCGCAGCAGTCGTGCGGGGCTTTGTGGTCCAACTGGCGCTGATCCTTGCGCGAGATTGATGCATGCTGTACACAGCCTGCAACCGTGGGGCTCGCCTTGCAGGCCTCAGCGACCCACTGGCTGCACGAGCGCTATTTGGTGCGGTTGATTCATTGAAGTGGAAGGCGGCAGCATTCCGTCCGCAAAGCTGACGCTTGGCGTATTAGATGGCACTGTACAGTGGGTGGAGTGTTCAGAAGAAATTTGCAAGCACCTGTTGGTGGCGAAATGCCTCGCCTGTATTGTCATATTCAGGGTCACTGGAAAATTACAAGCATCGCCGTTAAGTTTTCTTTTCCCCTCTGTGTCCGTGCACCTAATATACTTACTCATCGTGAAATTGCACCTTTTTCTTCACCAAAAGTGGCACATCGTTGTTTTAAAACCAAAATGGCACTGCACATGCGACAGTGACTTTCAGCCACAGCATGAGCCCGTCTGTCAGATGATGACGCACAGCGAGCAGGGCCTGCTACCTGTCCAGCCCGTGTTAAGCAGCGCTTCACTGGCATGCTACCGTCTCCCTTGAAGTCAGAGCTGTGTTTGCGAACCGCCGCGCTGCTCCCAGGATGGGCCGGCTGGGTTGAAGATCGCTGCGTCGCGCGACCGGTGGCGGCGGGCCGGGTCCTTGAAAGGTCACAGCATTACACGAGGTCCAGCGCGGCCCGCGAAAGGTCACAACACCGAACGAAGTCCCGCCGTCCGCTCCTTGTCATAACACATTATCCACGACTCATTGATCAAGTTAATGGGTTCGCACGAATGACGCATAGTGCATGTGTTTATATATAACTACATTTGGCTAGAAAGATATGAACGCCCATGGATGCGTCAATTAGACTGTCTGACACATCTAAGCAGAAAGGGTAACTAAACAAACGTGCTTTCCTTTTCCCTGCACATGCCCCAAAAATGGCGGAGTATATTCACCTGTGGACAAAACGAACGTATCACTGTCCATATCAACGCAGTTATGCAGCAGCAAAATTGTCTATTGCATTGGGCAACCCTTGCATTTTTTATGACCGCTGTCCCTTTTCTTTTGAGCGAACGCTGTGAAAATGTGAAATACAGGAACAGGTGAGCCCTTTGCCAAAATGTTCCGATTATGACAGCCTAATCGGCCACTAAACTATGATAAGTTGTTAAGCCTAGATTGGCGGTCATGGCGGATCGGTGGGTTGGTGGACAAGTTTAAGCAATATTAACCCGTTTGTAATGATTGGTGACTGGTGACGGTACATTTTCCCTCGTCGCCTTGTCAAGTGCCCCGACAATGCCTTGCATCCTCAGTATCGAGTCATCCTTAGGCTCTCCTGCGCTTTGGGCGCGACGCTAGTAGTCTGCAGTTGTTATATAACACAGTTAAATGTCCGATCGCTGTCTATTGAACCACACATCTGATATATATCGTTTTAACCGGTGGTCGACGACTGTTCATGTTTTCATGCCATTTGGACTGAATGTAAGTGCGTAAGTGCGATGTGCGTTTTATTGTTGATTGGAGTTTTGGGACGTGCCGACTACTGAGGTCATTTTGCGCCCATAACAGTTTGTGATGTGTGCGTGCTATTCTGTGTGACGTGCGGAATTTCGTTACATGCAATTTAAACTTTGACACAACGCTAAGGGCAGTCCTTCCAAAATTTCAGAATGTTTTACTGTCAAAACATGCTTTACTGTTACATTTTTACGGTACGGGCGTCCTTCGGTGCGTTCGTTTTTGCTCATTTTGTTTTGTTTTAATCGTCCAAATAGTTGGATGTTCTCCCATTGTATGTTGTCCGCCAGGACGTTTAACACGCGCTCGAGTGGGGGGATCAAATTCCTCCCCCCCCCCCCTGAAGGTTTTTCCGGAATGAGTTACGAATGGCACGGCGTAGCCGCGCCAAATTTCTCATAGAATGGAAAATTGAACAGCGGATCGTCTGGCAACAGCAATTTAGATGTACCTTGTAAGGTCACTGACCTGTGGCAGGTCAAAGTCAGGCCATGATTTCAGCCAAGACAGTTTCTAGGGAATCTTTTAATCTGATCTATCAACGGAGTGTTAGATGAAGACATACATCTGTGAGATACTTTTGTAGGCAACACAACAATTGAATGAACAGATCAGATTGATCTAAGGTCAGGTATGAAGGTCAGACCATGCTTAAAACCAACCTGTTTTGATACTCTTGCGATTGCTGTATGGGGTAGTTTCTGGTGCTTATTTCGAAGTTATTGATAGCAGTAACCGCATTATATACCTTCCATAGACTTCTCAAAGTTCAGAATAAGTCATTGACCTAGAATGACCCGGGTCAACTTTTTTTTTAGGAACATACCGTCTAGCGTAATGTTTGCTGGTTATCCAAATGCAAAACCCAAAGAGGTGTTGTATTTTTTTGGCCACCATGACCTTCAAAAGGTCAAACAAGGTCACTACCTTAGATGAGCATGTGAGCTTTTTCCTTAGAACAGTTATCTAGGTTCTAGGGTCCTTTGAAGACCGACCTTGGCCTTGTTTGGCCTTTATGACAGCTGTCCCTTTTCTTTTGAGCGAACGCTGTGAAAATGTGAAATACAGGATTTGGAAATACAAGATTTGGCCTTGTTTGACCCTATTTGACCAGAAGGTCATGACCTAGGAACCGTAAATCTTGACTAAAGTGAGTTCACGTACAGGTCAACACACCTTTGTGAATTTGGCGTTTCTAGCTCTCTTAGTTCCTGAGATCTTAGGGGTGTCAAATTCCCCCCCCTCCCACCCGAGCAAGGGTATCCAACCGGCCACCCGGGCGCGTGTAAATAGATGATGAAGATGGTCATGATGATAAGCCCGTTCAGCTCTAAGCGTTTTAGCCCGGCTTTTTGCTATTTAGACGTTTTGCAATGCTCAGCAAGAGGTGGCTTTAAAATACTTAGGGGATAATAAAGAGCTATCAAGACTGCAGATATTTTGAAGGACATTTTGATAAAGAGCATATATTGCGCATGTTTTGTGTGAGCTTCAGTCTGAGCTTACAATATTGTTAACTTACAAGAGGCTGCTATGTCCCAGCAGTTGAAACGTTAGGGCATACACTGTCTCGCCGGATGTTCCCACGATGCCCGTTGCACTCGGCGTCGCGTCCAGTCAGTCAGCCACTGATGTTCATTCGCTATATGCACCCAAACAATGCCTTAAGCTGGCACAGTGGTTGATTCCAGAATTCGTGCTTGGAAGTTGAACCATGCCAGAGCGTGAATGACACGCATCGCTGAGCGTGATCAGCTGGACAGGATCGCCGTTACAGGTCACAGTGCTGGGCGAGACGACCAAGACGCACACGCTGACGTCGCTGCTGCCGGCCACGTCCTACGACATCAAGGTGCAGGCGTTCAACCTGGCGGGCGGCGTGTCCGAGTTCTCGCCGATCGTCACCGAGCGCACGGGAGGTGAGCCGGCCGCCGGCTCAACCCTCGCGGCTTATGTGTCCGTTTCTTTGGAGGAAGCTGGGGAGGCTGGGGGTACGGAAGGGGCGTAAAGAAGTTCAGTGTAAAGGCTGTTCGTGTTGTTGTGCGCATGACACGTCATTGGAGCACATTGCATTACACCGAGCTCACGCGAAACGCCGAGCGGTGTCCAGTACGTCGAACACGTTGATAACTCGACTTGGTGAAGATCCTTTTTTTGCCGCTGAGCGCCATCCCGCCAGACCGCCAGAATTTTACGCACAGTGATAACAGGAAGACGGTACAAATCCGGTTGGGACCAGCACCCTGCAAGTTAGCCTGTCACGCAGGGCACCGCATGTTTGCTGCACCGTTCGTCGCAAATATCCCTGTGATGTAGACTGTCCCGTAGCGTACACCATGTTTCCATCACATTGGCGTGCTCCACCTGTTTGCAGCGTGGATCCCTGAGACGCCTCGTGTGAACAGCGGGGATCCCTGGGGCGCCCCTGTGGGCAGCGTGTATCGCTGGCGGAATGGCGCCCCTGTGGACACCCCTGACAGTACCCCTGTGTGGACAGCTGCCCAGGGCGCGGCGAAGACGGGCTCGTCCGTGGAGGCGCGGCGCCCTCTGGTGCCGGTCGTCACGAGCCGAGGGGTGGACCGCTCCCGGGCCCGACTGTACGCCATCGTGGGCAGTGTGCTGGGCGGCCTGCTGCTGCTGGCGCTCACAGCTGGCCTCGTCTGCCACTGCCGCTCGCGGACGGCAGACAAACAAGGTACACGCCTGCTCGAGAGCGAAGGATGAGAACGAGGGGCAGACACCGGGACGGGAAAGGAGGGGAAGGTGGGCTGCGACAGCGCCTGTCACCAGGTTAGCCGTCCTTGGCTTCACCAGAAGACACAAGAAGAGGCGTAAAAATATGAGCGTCGTCTTCACTTTCGCCTGTGTCTGCCACTTCGTGACGCTCACGCCGCGGCTGTTTGTAGTTCGTCTTATTTGCGCGCGTAGCATATGGACATGCTACATCAGGGATCCATATTGCTGAACTGGTGTGAATCCATATGGTTTACTTTTGATGAAGCAGTGGCGGTGCGATTTATAGCTATGCCAATCAAGCATGGCTGGGTTCTCCCACGACACTAGGCATTTATAGAAAATGTTGGGCTGTCTTTTAGCCGATTGACCAATAGATTTAAGCAGCAACACCCTCAGCAAACCGCTCACCGCTTCGGCTGCGTCAAAACGTTTGCGGCATCCATTCTTGGAGGTGCTCCGAGAAGTTAATAAAACGCCCAGAAGTGTCTCCTTCCGCTGGAGACTCACCAACTACTTCCGAACTTTCGGGTTCCTAAACTAGCGACTTGAACGCGCTTTCTTATATGCAGTGAGTGCAAAGTTGGAAATAAACTAGCGAACTTCGTTCGAAATTTGTCAGTAATGTATTAACTGTGGAATCATTTGCACTTCAAAGGTGAGCTGTCAACAGCAGCCGCCCTGAGGTGCTGACTTCTTTGGCCAACTGCAAACTTCTGAGCTTGTTTTGGCGCCACCGCGTATTTGGAATGCATCGCGCGGTCGGGGAAATAAAGCACCCATGGCTTTTAAGCTTAGATCCAGACACTCGGAGGCAGCATTCGAAGAAACACAATTTCGATGCGACAAAGGCTCGCTTGATGTAGCCACTTGTCAGTGAGTGCAGACAATAGTTTATACTTGTTTATTTAGCATTTCGTAATGGCCTCATGAGCTTATAAGGGTACTGATAATGTAGCGGTTAATACGTCTGCGTTAATCACTGCGCGTCTGGGAAACCAGAGGTTCGGAGTTCGATTCCCCGCGTCGCCCGCCCTTCCTGCCGGCGGGAGAGGCAGGCGACGCCACATAGCCTCAGCAGCTGAGTGCATCGTAAAGTCCGAATGACGACAAAAATATATCAACACGGATAGGGATGTCAAAATGTCGATACTCGTAGCAACTTCGTTCTACTACATGCTGCGAACTTGCTGGAACGCAATGCCACTAGTGCGACGCCTGCGCGCTGATGGGGACTGATCCGGGCGCATGGAGACCTCTGAGACCGGATTTTCCCCCACTGCAGAGGTAGCACAGGAATATGGCGACAGCGCTCTTCAGGGCGGCGTTCACCAACCGCTGGCGCCACCGCGGGCCCTGGCCACCCGACCCCGACCTGGCCGAGTCAGACGGGGGTCTGCAGACGGCACCTCCACCGGGCCGCAGTTCTCGACAGGTGAGTCCCCGCCTCTCACCAGGTGAGCCATCTCCGCCTCTTACCAGGTAGGCTATCCCGCCTCCCACCAGGTGAGCCATCTCCGCCTCTTACCAGGTAGGCTATCCCGCCTCCCACCAGTGAAGCCATCTCCGCCTCTTACCAGGTAGGCTATCCCGCCTCCCACCAGGTGAGCCATCTCCGCCTCTTACCAGGTGGCTATCCCGCCTCCTCACCAGGTGAGCCATCTCCGCCTCTTACCAGGTAGGCTATCCGCCTCCCACCAGGTGAGCCATCTCCGCCTCTTACAGGTGGGCTATCCCGCCTCCCACCAGGTGAGCCATCTCCTCCTCTTACCAGGTAGGGCTATCCCGCCTCCCACCAGTGTGAGGCATCTCCGCTCTCACCAGGTAAGCCATCTCCACCTCTTACCAGGTGGGCTATCCCACCTCCCACCGGGGGGGCCATCTCCGCCTCTCACCAGGTAAGTCATCTCGCCTCCTGAGAGGTGAGCTCATCCCGCCTCTCACCAGGTGAGCTATCCCTCACCCGCTGCCTGTCCCCAGATCGGCCGGTAACTGCATCGACCACCGCTGCCCCCCCGCCGGCCCTTTGTAAGCTATGCATGCTAGAGCCTTGGGCGGCGTGGAACGCCACGCCCTCATTCCGATGATTGGTACTGCTGCAGGCGTTTTGGGTTCGTCGTAGCTCTCGCCCTCGCTCGTGGGGTGGTGTCGCTATGATCGATTGTGGGTATAAAAACTGGCCTTGCTAGAGTGGACCAACCACTCAGGACTCAGGAGAGGACTCAGGAGACGGACCACTTAGTTATAAATGACTCCGGGGCTGTCCTTCGTCTTGATGTCAGGTTTGTAATTATCTTTGGTTTTGACACTAACCAAGCTATTAGGATACGTACCCAAACTGAATATTTGGGTGCGGTATTCACTTTGATTAGCATGCGCCCGGGGGCCGTTGAGTACCCTTTGCTCGGGAAAGGGGCTCAGTTTGACCCCTGAAATCTCAAAAACTAAGATAGCTTAAAATCGGGGTTGAGAAAAGTGCCTTTTCTGTCACCGACGAAATTTGGAACCGTCTAAATTGTCACCTGCAGCCGAATCTCACAGAAACCGTTGCAATATAACTTTAAATGCAGTAAACCACAGAACAAAGACAAATTTGATGCGATGCGGCGTAACCATCAAACATCTTTGGTTCGTTAGTTCATTTGCATTTAAGTATCATTTGCTGCCCATTAAGCAGTGCATGACGGTTAAGGCTTAAAAAATACAATTATCAGATAAGGACATGCTTAACATAATCAGCTTGGAGACGTGCAGTTTCCTATTCAGATAATGGAGGGGATTGTGTCTCCTATGGATGTAGTTTCCTGTTTTTAGTTATCATTTTTAGGCATTATTTTTCATCATTGGTTATTTTTAGGGGGTGACCTCCCAAGCCAATTTCCAGAAACTACACCCTTGTTCTCAACTGTGAAAAGAAAGTGCGTCAAATCTGTTGAGAAAACTGTTGTGAGTGCATTTTGGAGGCAGGTTCAGTCATTTTTTTCTTATCCCCTTTTCTCCATCCTTCAATCCTACGTATTTTGCAAAACTGCATCCCTGTGGTCCTAGATTTACCGACAGCATGGTTCTCCAAGCACATGACTACAATGTCACCTTTGGTTGTATGGCGTCATTGTGCATCAGGTGAGCGCGCGGGCGACCTACACTATTTTCGCATAACCATTACCGGTGCAGAACTCACACATTCTAACGTAGTCCGAATCATTTAGAGCAAAACCCATGCAAAATTGGTATATATAGATACAAACAGCAGCACCTTTTTTAATACCTCAAACGCCCTCACTCAGCTTTATATGTAATATGATGAAAGTAAAAAGCGTTTTGTCTCATGCCTGTTCACCGATCAGTGCGCTAAGCCAGAAGCGCAACGGGCAATGTGAGAGGCCTACAATAGTGATGCTCGGTCTCTTACCTCAAAACCGCTGTTACTCTCAGCAGCAGAAAGCCCCGGATGAATATCTTAGATGTGTCGCTCCGACGTCCTCCGTTTATCTCTGGAGTTACAGCTCAGATATCCACACAACAATCCTCGTAAATCGGCAAGGCTTTTAACGTTATTGCATTAAAAAGACGACGATTAGCTACGGACTTCTAGCCAGTCAGCTTCTCACGACATGAACACAACGAACAGTGTCTCCAATGGCACGACGTTTAAAACGCTGCGTAGCAAACTGATCACGTCCGTCGCAAGATGCTGCGGCGAACCGCGATCCTTACAACTAGTAATAAGCCTGGTTATTTGCTTTTTTATACTGTGTGGTATGTGAAGTGAGTCTTGACTGCAAAATCTGTGAAGAGCACCGATCTGAGGGGCACTGGAAAAGCACCGTGTCACCGCTGATCTGTGGCGTCAGCACTAATATAGCATAGTTTGTAATATCTTTCTGGTACTTGATAAAACTATCCTGATTAAAGCTACTACATTTGGCAGCATCTTATGATTGAATTTGTTGATATAGTGAATCGCCGACGCTTCGGCATGTGTTCTACACATGATCACGCTGCAAGTGTTAACAAGCATGGACCAATGCCAAACCTTGAGTTTCGTTAAGCTGGGATAGTAAGTGGTAATATTGTATGGTCTAATGAAATTGGTTTACATTTTCGTTATTTTGTCACCAATTGGCTCGCAAAAGTGTTATTTTTTGTCAGCGATCATATCCGGTAAATCAAAAGCTTTTTCATCCCTGCTAGAAACACCTCAATTATAGGGTAGGTTGGCCCGTACATAGATTCCACTTGTGTCAAAATGTTAGGCTCATACGTCATGACCTTGGGATCAGGTGAGGTCAGGTAATATCAAACTCTAGATTGGTGTCGCAAATGGCCCAGACCTCCTAATGCAACCGGCGTGAAGCTAGATACCTGTGGCCAAGCAAAAGGTCAGTGGTGTTCAACTAAGGATCAGCGACCTTGTGTGACGTTTATATGGTCAAGGTGACCAAATACCTACGAGATTACTCCCATTTTGCCATTCAGATCAGAGTCAGGGATTACGTGAAACGGCATGTTCCTTAAAATACAAAATACTGACCTCGGTCATTTTAGTTCAGTGATCTATTCTAGCCATTAAAAGACCATGACATATGTGTGTTATTGAGTGTGCAGTATTGTTGTCGGTCTCTTTATGTCTGAAATATGAAATACGGTCTGATGTGGTCTGTAATATGGAATATTATTGTCAGTCACTGTCACTAATGTATTCGAAATAAGCACCAGAAACTTCCTCATCAACCAAGCTCTCGAGTAAAAAAACAGGTTAGTTTTGACCTTGGCCTGATCTTTACAACTTACCCTGGGTCAGTTGAATTGGTTGTAGTTCTAAATTCGACTGGTTTAATGTCTTAGGTATTATTTCATATATGTATGGGTTCGTTCAACACTCCGTTGTGGGATGGCATCAAACAATTCCTCAGAAATGTCCTTCGCTGACAGCCATGGCCTGACTTTGACCTGTCACTGGTCAACAACCTTGGCAAGTACATTAAACTTTTGCATCAAAAGATCCGCCATTCAATTCTATAAAGCTCTCCAAATTTGGCGCGGTGAAGTCACGCCGTTCGGAAATCATTCAGGAAAACCTTCGGGGGTTAATTTGACGCCTACCCTCACCCGGGCGCGTGTTAATTCACCTTGATTCTCCGCAGGTTGTCAAGGAAGTGGTATGGATTCCTCGCCATCACAAAAGTTGATCATATTGGACATTAAATATCACGGACATCTAGGAAATATTGGTATATCATCTGGTCATGCGAGCTGGATCCGGTCACTGCTCTCCGCTGATCACTGGGGAGCGGGCTGCTAAGGCTATTATTTACCGATTCCAAGATGTCTACGCCATAGTGTCCAAAACGCCGAGCACTTCACAGTGCCCAGAATCTCGCTTGGCATGGGTCCGTGCAATCGCCCTGCGGTGGCTTCACAAACTACGTGCTACTTCTCTTGCGTCCAGCCACCTGACTATGACAGTATTTCTTGCCTCCTTTTTATATCGCTGGAGTCTGCTCGGCTATATCTGTTCCCGCATTATCTATATCATCATATTGGAACTCAGTGTCTCTGTTCTACATTCGACCTCGATTCATGCTCAGTATAGAACACCGCCTGGGCTGTTCTGAGAAAGAGGCAGGTTTCCACAGCAGAACGCCACCTGGTCCCCGTTGGACTCCAGGAAGGGGCAGCTCGCGGACGCCACCGGTGTTCCGAATGGGGCACCGTCCGAGCCCTGCCCGTTCGCTACGGGGCGGGGACGCTGTTTGCTTGCTGTGGAGCGGGGACACCACCCACTCGCTGCTGGGTGGGGACACCATCCGCTCGCTGCGGGATGGGAACACCGTCCGTCCGCCCGCTGCGGGTCGGGAACACCGTCCGCTCGCTGCGGGGCGGGGGACACCGTCCGCTCGCTGCGGGGCGGGGGACACCGTCCGCTCGCTGCGGGTCGGGAACACCGTCCGCTCGCTGCGGGATGGGAACACCATCCGCTCGCTGCGGGATGGGAACACCGTCCGCTCGCTGCGGGGCGGGAACACCGTCCGCTCGCTGCGGGATGGGAACACCGTCCGCTCGCTGCGGGGCCGGGGACACCGTCCGCTCGCTGCGGGGCGGGGACAACCGTCCGCTCGCTGCGGGGGGGACACCGTCCGCTCGCTGCGGGGGGAACACCGTCCGCTCGCTGCGGGCCGGGGACAACCGTCCGCTCGCTGCGGGCGGGGACACCGCCCTCGCTGCGGGGTGGGGGAACCGTCCGCTTGCTGCGGGTGGTGGACGCCGCCCGGACGCGACCCTGATGTGCAGACCACGTCCTCACAACCATCTGGCGATGCCCACTTTACGACCCCACACATCGTCACCGCCCACCGATAAACGCGCTAAGCCGCCGGCCGGCGAAGCGGCCCTGATGGACGGCCCAGTTACGACGCCCCGCCCCTCTCGGCT